ATATGATCTCTCCCAGTAACTCCAGTTAAGACTCTGGCAGCAGCATTTTGGATCAACTGAAGACGTTTTAAAGAAGTATTTGGACACCCAGATAATAAACCATTGCAATAGTCCAGTCTAGACGTGACAAATGCATGGAGCAGTTTTTCTGCATCATCTTTAGATCAGATGTTTCTAATGTTAGTGATATTACGCAGGTGGAAGAAGGCAGACTATAAAACAATGTTAATAATCTTTGTTGTAAGTTGATCTATATTTATTTATTTAATGTTAATAAGGGTATAATGTTATGCAGAGGTGTACTTATAACAATTTTTTAGACAAATTATACTATTTAGAGTCGAGAGTTGGGGGTGCGCAAAATGTTTACTTTTTCCTAGGGGGGGTCGTAGCCGAAAATAATTGAGAAGCGCTGCACTATACGATGGGAAACTGTTCCAAACTCAGACCGGCAGCCTCAGGATTACACCGAGCACTAACAATAGAGCCCTCGTATACTGAGGCAGCTGTGAGGTTAAAAGATGTGATTTGTGTCTGTCACAACTAAATACACTGCAACATTCTAACCACTGACATGTTCAAGAATTTAGTCACAACCAGAGTCTTTAATATTTGATAAATGAAAAATAATTCATTATTTTAGTTTCCTTATTTTGCCATTTTTTAATAATTAGTCATTTAATGATCACCAAATCAAAAACAAAAGTCGATGACGTGTTTGATAAGGGCACAGGCATTAAAATGTAAACGTTAAAAAATGTTAGCCTAACGTTCTGATTGCTGTACAGTAGCCATATTGAAGCCTGACTGATGTAAAACCAGATCCAGGAGGTCAACAACAAAGATCAGGAGAGGAGTGTTGTAGTAGCTCCAGTCTGGACCAGTGAAACATGGCTTGATGTGTAGTCTGTGTGCACTCGTCTGAAATGAGATGTTTTCTGTTTTGTGATGTGATGAAAGTCGTGTTAACAGGATGAAGACTGGTGGTAGATGACGTCCTCAGGGTGTTAACCTTTTCATTCTGTTTGTTTGTAGGGGGGCCCAGCACACCTCTCTGGAGCAGAGCTCCCCCCCGCAGAGTAACACCCCTGGAACACCCCCCTCCTATAAACTCCCGCCCCTACTAGGAAACTACGAGGGAAAAGATGATTTTCCCCTCAGAAAGACAGGTGGGTCGTGAAACAGCAGATATGTTCAAAACTCCCGGTAGTATTCTGATGCATGCTCAATATTCCAGGTAGAAAAATCTAAAAAAGTTAAGTCAGGTCCTCTGGATGTTGAAAAAACAACAACAACAAAAAAGTAGAAACGTTTAATCTTTCATCCGAAAGACTTCTTCAGACTGAATAAGTCTTTCGGACTAAAGACGAAAAAATGTTTCTACTTTTTTTTTTTTTTTATGTCCAGAGGACCTGACTTAACTTTTTTAAACTCCCAGTAGTCTTTGCACCTGAGACTGTCAACACAACCCCTGAGATCCAGGCTCAGGCACTTAAGAGACAGTTCAGATATTCTGAAGTGGGGCTCTGTCCAAAACGTATGAAGTTATTATCTTACCTGTTGTAGATAGAGACCTCAGTTTGTAGTTAAAGTCTGACAGACCGATGGGCTAATGTCTAGTAAAACATGAAGTGGATAAATGCAGTCTTGAAACTTATTCAGTCTCGAAAACGTTATAGCGGTTCAGTGATATGCAGTACACATTTGGGAAAATAAGTATTTGATGCCCATTTTGCAAGTTTTCCCACTTACAAAGAATGGAAAGGTATGTACCGTAATTGCCGGTGTACAAGCCACTACTTTTTTTTCTCAAACTTTGTACCCAGCAATTTATATGCAGGAACTTCTTATTTATGTATTTCTTGCATAATTTTCAAAAGTTATATTTTTATATTTTATTTTGAAAGACTTCCTGCTGTCTCTCTGTAACTTCCTGCCACTGACCAACATTTTCCTTTGACAGAGCTGGGTGCTCGTGGCTCCCAGTACCCTGCCTCTCTTGGGGGCAGGCAGTTGTGACAGCTCTTTGCTCATGGTTTCAAATTGCCTACCATAACTCCACCCACTCTGTCATCATGTGACCAGAAGTCTAACCTGAATGACCAATGAGGTACTCTCCAGGGCCAATCCCTCAAGATAGATGTGAATGAATTTCTTCAGATCGTTCCTGTGTTGTTTATCGTATTTTGCGTTTCATGCACAGAGAATTTCTTATGACGCAGCTTTCATGTTAAAGTTCAAGTTCAAGTATCTTTATTTTCCCCGAGGGGCAATTAGTTTCACAGTCAGTAGATATGTACATATACACACATGCACATACACAAACATACACATATATACATATGCATACATATATATACACAAGACATTAAGACATTAAAGTAACAGTTTTGAAATTAGTGTTCATTGAGAAACCTGATTGCTACAGGGATGAATGAGTTTTTCAATCTGTTTGAACATATGTTCTACATCTGGGCTGAAGAAATCTACGTCCAGATGGAAGCAACCTGAACTCATCATGGAATGGATGATCAGGATCTGCCAGAATCTGCCTGGCCTTATTCACTGACCTCACCTTGTGTAGGTCAGCGAGGTTCTGTAGGTCTATGCCAGCAGTTTTGCTGCACATCCTGACAATCCCTGAGAGTTTGCTCCTGTTCTTACATGTCAAAAGTCCAAACCAACAGATAAAGGTAAAGGTTAAAATAGACTCAATAAAACATGAATAAAACATTCTCATAAAAGTTGAATCAACATTAAAACCACAAAGCTTCCGATAAAATACATCCAGCGATCGATCAGTCGAGGAGGAAAAAGCTGCAGTCCGTAAGCTCTGCATTAATGTGTCAATGGTCAGGCATTGGAGACACAAAAGCACTCAAGTCTGGTACATGTTTTAATAAAAGTTTTTAAATTCTTTCTGTGACATTTTTTTGTGTCGGTAAGTATGTCCAAAAACGTTGAAGGCAAAAACAACTGAACTTTATTTGTAACAGAAGATTTTTCGCTTCTCATGCGAGAAGCGTTTTCAATTAAAAAAGCAGAGAGTGGTGCTCTGATGACTGCAAATCTTCACCAGCATGTTGGTAAATATGCATTTAAATACCGGGATTTTATTTTAAACTCTCATCCGAACACAAAGCGGAGAACAACAGGAGGGGTCTTCCCCCCTCCACTTTCCGTCATGAGAGCTCAGCGAGCGGTGGAGAATTTGTCAGATGGATTTTTAAAGCGGTCAGCCAGTCAAGTCTGATACATATTTAAAAATAAAAGTATAAAATAATCTTTCCCTGTACAGTAAATATGTGTTTAAATATCAATATCATTTAAGCTCTGCACAGAACGGAGGAGAAAACAGGAGGGGGATGGGGGTGTTCCCCCTTCCTTCTCCTTCTCCTAATTTGAGCTCTGCTGAGCAGAAATCATGTCAAATTTATTTAGAAAGTACATTTAAAAACAGCAGTTCTTAACAAAAGTGTTTACCAATAAAAATCAATGGTACAAATTTAATGAATATTTACCGTATTTTACTGGTACTATTTGACTTCCGGTCACATGACCTTGATAAGACTTTTGGGTATTATTTACCAGTAAATATTTTTTAAATAATTTCAGTTACGTAGGTGTTTGACACTGTTCTGTCCAGTGATTATGCTTAGATAGATATTGTTACTGTTGTCTCCTCCGCTCTGTGTGGAACGTAAATGGGATACTGGTATTTAAACACATATTTACCATTCATTCAACCTTTATTTAGACAGGTAAATCCCACTGAGCCTCGAGGACTCATTTACAAGAGAGACCTGACAACCATACGCAGAAAGTTTTTTTTACGTTATGTATAAAGTTATACTGATATGCATCAGTCTTGGCTGACAGACTGCTTTAAAAATAAATCTGATGACTCCTTCGCTGAGCTCTTATGACGAAAGGGGAGGGGGAAGACCCCTCCTGTTCGTTGTCTCTGCTCCGTTTCATGTGTTCAGATGTGAGTTTAAAATGAGATCCCGGTATTTAAACACATATTTACTGACACTGAAAGATGTCACACAAAAATAATTTAAAAACTTTTATTAAAACATGTACCAGATTTGACTGCTTTTGCATCTCCAATGCCCGACCATTGTCACGTTGATGCAAATCTTACGGGCAGCAACTCTGTTTCCTCCTTAGACAGCCGATCACTTTTAACATGAAAGCTGCGTCATAAGAAATTCTCCGTGCATTTTCCATTACAATAGTCCCTCGCTACTTCACGGTTTGTTTTTGGCGGATTCACTATATTGCAATTTTTCAAAGGAAGAATGGGCATGACACAATTGGCTGATTGACGGATGAGCCATGGATTTTTAATTAAAAAAAATATTTTAAAAGTTTTTGCACCTGGGTGCAGTCCACAAGTGGAGGGGGAAGCTCCCTCCTACAGCCTGTCATGATCTCCCCTCTCTGCCACGCACACATTTCTCCTGCTGCATCGTCTTTGTGAAGGGTTCCATCTTAAAATTCAAAGTATGTCACATCATAAAATCATCATAATCACAAAATATAAGTGTTAAAAGTTATTTTAAATTATTTTAGTACTTCTAGAGTCAGAGTCAGAGTCAGAGTTTCTTTATTGTCATTCGCACCTCATGTGGTACATGTGGTGGAGCGAAATTATGTACACAAGGTCCCAGTTACATCCAACAATAAAATGTCTAAGAAAAACAGTAATGACATCTAAGATATGAACTAAGAAAAACATCAACTAAATATACACTAAGCACTCATAACATAAAACATTGAACATCAGCACAAACATGAACATGAGTCTGTGAGCAGATGTGCACGCATGAACACATCAACATTGAAACAGATCAGCAGCAACATGAAACAGATCAGCAGCAACATGAAACAGATCAGCAGCAACATGAAACAGATCAGCAGCAACATGATATGGTTTTTCACAGTGATTATTCTAGTTAGAGATTCATAAGTCTAACAGCCTCAGGGTAGAAGCTGTTCCTCAGTCTAGTGGTTCTACACTTAATGCTCCTTAACCTCCTTCCTGAGGGGAGTGGGGCAAAAAGTGTGTGTGCTGGGTGAGTGGGGTCCTTCATGATGCAGGTGGCCCTCTTCCTGCATCTAGAGGTGTAGATGTCTGTGATGGTGGGGAGACTGATTCCAACAGATTTCTGTGCAGCCTTCACCACTCTCTGCAAAGCTTTTCTTTCTGCAGCTGTGCAGCCTCCATGCCACACATTGATGCTCGAGCACAGGATGCTCTCCACTGCACACCTGTAGAAGGAGGTGAGGACTGAGCTTCCAGACCAGCTTGTCTCAGCCGTCTGAGGAAGTAGAGTCTCTGATGAGCTTTCTTGATCAGGCTGGTGGTGGTGTTGCTCCAGCTGAGGTTGTTGTTCATGTGTACACCCAAGTACTTGTAGCTGCAGACCACTTCCACCGCAGATCCTCTTATGTTCAGGGGGGTGTAGGTGTTTTTGTTCCTTCTGAAGTCCACAATCATCTCCTTTGTCTTCTTCACATTGATGTGAAGGTTATTCTCTCTGCACCAGCTCTCCAGGTGTTCCACCTCTTGCCTGTAGCTGGACTCATCATTGTTTGTGATGCATCCCACCACCGCTGTATCATCTGCAAACTTTACAATGTGACAGCCTGGATGGGTAGCTGCACAATCATATGTGAGCAGAGTAAACAGAAGGGGGCTCAACACACATCCCTGATGAGAGCCAGTACTGAGGGTTATGGTGGAGGAGGAGAGGTTGTGGATCCTCACTAACTGTGGTCTGTTTGTTAAAAAGTCTAGTACCCAGTTGCAGATGGAGGGGCTTAGTCCTAGTGTGGATAGTTTGTCCATCAGGGTTTGGGGGATCATGGTGTTGAAGGCGGATGTGAAGTCCACAAAGAGCATACGGACGTAAGAGTTTTTCTGCTCCAGGTGGTTGAGTGCAGTGTGGACCACAGAGGAGATTGCATCCTCTGTTGATCGGTTCTCACGGTATGCGTACTGATGAGGGTCCTCGTTGATGTTGATGGTTGTTTTGATGTGAGTCATGACCAGTTTTTCGAAGCATTTAGCGACTATCGGGGTGAGGGCCACTGGCCCTCATCCCTTCTATGTTCAGTTGTTACAGTGTAATTGATCAAGAGGTACATTTCTGCTCTATGC